CGGGTACCTGATCAACCCACTTCTCGTGCTCCTACCGACCGGCAGATGACTCAGCTGAAGGAGTCACTGAACCAGACTAGAGTAAAAATTCCTCTTCGTACCTCTAGTGGTGGTGAGTTTGACTTCTTATCTGAAGCTGAAAGACTCAAGGCATTACGGGTTGAAGAAGAGCTAGAACTTCAAAAGAAACAGAATGAAGATAGCTTGAAGCTGGCTAAGTCACTAGCTGAAACACTCCTTCCCAAGAAAAAGTCCAAGAAAACGGTGAATGTTGTCCAAGCCCAGGCTAAACTTCTTTCGATTGTAGAAGCTAAACGCAAGAAGAACCTGAAGCTGGTGGATAAAGACAAGCAATGGAGCGAAGCAAAACTGAAAAAGAGACTCAGTCCTCACCCAATTATCAGCGTCAGCATCAGCGGACGTTCTAAAGACGGTGGAACACTGGTCTCAATGCTCATCACCAGGGACAATCTTGATGCTGTTACCGAGTACCCTTCCTACCTTGGCCGCTATGGATATAGCGAATGGATGGAGATCAGACAAGCCATTTAGCAATCTAAGTCGAGACACAAGACACTTATCGAGGACACCATCAACGATCTCATCAAAAGGATGTCCAGGTATGTCAAGGTCCCTGACCGGCCAACTCTGAAGAAAGGTGGGAAGAAGAAATAAAAGCTCTATGATCCAAATGAAGGACCATTCCTAAGGAACGAGCATGACACAAGGTTTTCCTTAGATGAAGTCCTGAAGGCTCATAAGAGTACAGACATTTMTATGCTGAATCTTGACTTGCCAGATAAGGGTCCCTATACACCCAACTCTATGCATTTTAAACCTGAGTTAGGAGTTATATTTCTTGACTATGAAGGTGAAGTCAGATTTCAGAGAATGTTAAAGCTACATCTATGTCCAATGGATCATTTGATTTATATTTTGCTCTGGATAAATGATAGCATGCCTGGAAAAGTCGTAGATCTGAAGATACGAAGGGAATTCTTACGTCGAAGAAAACTTGGTGAAAGTGTACCTGGGTACATAGATCTAAGATCTCTAGATTAGTTTCTCTTTGTAACAACTATCCATTTTTCCTTGTAACTTCATGTACTATATCTCCTTTCAATGATTATACTTATATTCTGTAAGTTCTGGACATATACTGTAATACTTGTAATATTTCCTATGATTAATAAAATAAGTATTCCATGTACTTTACTGAAAAAGATCCCTGAAAAAAGTAATAGGGACATAAGTCTATGAGTTTCATTGTTACTTTTCTCATTTACTGACAATCTATGAGTCAGTGAATAAGCTTTCAGTTTTAGTTTCCGTACTTGTAATTTTCTTAGATATAACTTTAAAAAAATTCCCAAGTTCAGACTGACCAAACTGAAAAAGATCCCAAAATAGTAAAAAGGGACATACGCTTTGTAGGTAACTTTTCCTTGCTATTATTTGATAAGACAACCTTCTTTATGTTATCTTGTTATCATCAAATAGGGGGAGATTGTTGATCCTCTCTCTATGTGATTTGATGATAATCCCTTTTCACTTATACGTTGTATTTATGTTTCTTTATTTTTAGTTGCAGCGATCTTCACTGAGTATGTTCAGTGACCACTGAAGAACCTGCATTGTAAATCTATCAGAGACAACAATACTTCAAGAAGACAACACTCACACCAAAGAACCTTCAGCAACCGTCGAAGACTAAAACTGAAGTTTAGAGACTGACGAGTACGTGATCTGAAGCGGTATTCAGTGATTAGAAGTTTGTCTACATATGTGTGAAGACTACTCAAACTTCAGCGAATGATGATGAGACCTTCAGGTCATTCCAGCATTCAGCGATCAAAGGAAGTTTTCTTAGGACGATTGTTGTTGTCTTGTCCTTATGCACACAAAGGACAAAACCCATTCCCCTACGAAAGTTAGTACGAGACGGGGCCGATTAGTCGACTCTTTGCCCACCAACTTTAGGCAAGGATGTCTGCTCATGAATAGTGTTTTTGTACTATTTACTGTGGCAAAGGACTAGTCTTCCACTTAAGGTTTGACACGCTCTCTAACCCTACCTTATTGCATTAAATGAACATTTAATGCACTGGGTATAAATAGAAGTGTTTCTTCTCCATGTAAAGAGCGTGCAACTCTCTCTCTAACCCTAATTCTTACTTCAAGCATTTTCTAGCTTAAGTAAAGGATCTTCCTTATAGCAACTTCTTTTCTTGTATTTGCTAAAGCTTTGTGTGTAACCAAAGATTGTTTAGATAGGTTTTTTATTACCTTATCTTTCCGCAAACAATCTTGTAAAATTTGTATTGATCTTCTTTATCAATATATATTTTAAATTTGAAAATATTGTGTTTGTATTCATCCCCCCCATTCTACAAACTGTTTCTCTTTTTGTAGACCCTTACGGGACCAACAAGTTGTATCAGAGCAGTGTTTTCTTTCTTTCCTTGTGTTTAGCCATTTTCTATATTAGTTTATCTCTTCTTAGATAACTTTACTGCTTACAAATGGCTTTACAAATTACAAACACACACACACAAGATAATGGCTCTCTTGCCAAACCTCCCCGGTTTGTCCGTGACAACTTTAGTCTCTAGAAGAACTGGATGTCCCTCTTTGGAACTTGGATTTGGCTGGCGGAAGATGAAAGGTTTATAGAGAGAGAGGGAAAAAGGGAAATGTGAAAGTGAAATGAAAGATTTTCAATAGAAGTGGGGTTTTTATATGACGATAGAGGGGCCGGCCCATTCAAGGCCCAACCACCATATTTTTATTATAAGAATACAGCCCAACTAAAAATAATAACTCAAATACATTTATCAAATACTGATAGAATTATTCACTATTAAATCAAAATTCTTGATTTTGTAAAAATTATTTGTACATACAGTTGAAACTTTCTATTTTTAAATTTGAATTTTATAATATCGACTTTATTTATTTTAAGAGAATTTTTAATATATTTGGCATTGCATAAGTTCATTTATCAGTTACTCGTCGGGACAGGGTTTTCTGAACTATAATTTGGGAGCTAAGTCGATTGATTTTCTAATCAACATGACTAATCCCTAATAAATTACAATCCTAATTATAAGAACCTTTTTTAAATGTTAACCTGATGCTCCGAAAGTGAAGGATGTCACAAATGGTCTGAAATCTATGTAGATAAGACCATTTCCATGCAAATAACTGGATCAATAGTCAAGTATGGCCTAAAGGCATGCCTAAGAGTGTGTAGTAACAGAAAACAATAGATGAGAGTCCATGTATGTTTGATAGTGGAATAGTTAAAGAAATGCATTGGCCCCAAAAAAGAAGCTAATATGATATGGCAAAAGATTGCAATGTACACCTAAGTTGTATCAAACGAGGGCAGAAAAATTATAGAAAGTAAAGAAAATTTAAAAGGCAAAAACAACAAACATAAATCAGTTGCAAAATCAAGTAGAAACAACAAACAAAATATAAAATCAAGTAGAAACAGCAAACATATAATGTCGAGTTCTTCTAAATCGAGTTATGCAAAATCGAGTTGAACGCCGATTACCTGAGAAGGAGAGGAGAAGGTAGATCGATTCGTGAAATCTATCGATTACTGTCGAGCAGACTATGAAGGAGAGGCAACGCTTTCGTGAAGGGGAATGATTCTGTCCAGAACGACGATTTTGAAATCTGCCACCGATTGAAATATGTCGCCGATTGATGAAGGATATGGTGGAACCGATGGAGGCGACGTTGTGAAGGGGAAGAAGGGTGTGTTGCATATTAGGTTTTGAGAGGTTAGATAGGTAAAATATTTCTTGTTCTATTTAGTTCCAGGGGGAAGGGTGGACTACCGTGTCCCACCCATGTTCTAGCTAGTTCTAGTTAGTCCAACATAAGTCCACACCAAACATAGGACAATTGTGTTCTGTCTTGTTTTGTTCCACCCTGTCCAATATACCAAACACACCCTAAGGGTGCGTTTGGTGCACAGACAGGACAGGACAAGACAGGACAGTTGTTTAGCGTTTGGTAAGACATGACAGGACCAGACAGAACTGGTTAAAATGACCAATTTACCACCAGTGAGTTGTTTAGTATTTTTTCACTAAATAATCAATATAAACGTTAAAAAATACAATTAAAAAAAATCCACAGTCAATCTTAATTAAAAACTTACATTCATAAATCAAAAGGTTTAAACATCATGTTCACCAACACAAAAGTTGAACTGTTTACCAAAAGACCTAAATTCAAAAGATCAAATGTTTACAATTATGTACCAAAAGACTTAAACACAAAAGATCAAATGTTTACCAACCAACATTACATGTCTAACTTCTTTGAGATGGTCCTCACAAATTTTGGCTTCAAAGTAGCATTAATGCTATTCCATAGGCGTAGTTGAATCGGTTATCGGCAAAATACATGCTAGTAGCAATAACTTGATCATCATCAAAACCGATGTTGGTTAACTCATCAGGCATAGTTTGTAAAACCAACTTACCCATTTCCTCGGATAAGGAATTCAACCCCTTCTCAATATCTTGATTGCATCATCAGAAACACCGGCTGTTGGACCGAAAACTAGGGAACCGCCCATATGATATTGTCCGCTTTGGGCTGCCCCTCTCGGCAACAACCCCTCACGGCTTTAAAACACGTCACTTGGTAGGAGTAAGATCCCCCCCTTCCTTATAAGGAAGACGAATCCCCCTAGCCTCACTGATGTGGGATGCTCTTGCATTGCTACAGGAGCGTTGGGTTTAAGAATCGCGGATTTGACCGGCTCGAGGGAACGATGAGGCGGAAGTCCCAACACCGGCTTTTCTCTTTCTTTTTTTAGATGATGCTTCTACGCCTTGTGGAATGGAGGATGCAGAAGCGCCAGTAAAAGGAGTAGTCAAATGCACGTTCAATTCCTCAGTATCCTCCCCGACGTCACTTTCAAGATTTATGTGCTCTAATGCATCAGTGGCAGATTCCGCCATCGATCTTATGGCTCAATCTTTTCCAAATATTGTCTTCAATCGCTCATATTGAGGAAACGGCTTGTTGGCAATATAATTTTTGCTTGGATGTTTCTATAAAAAAATGCATAAATATATATAATGTTAATCACTATCCAAATGAAATTAAATATGTAATAATAACATAAAAAAATATAAGCATTACCTTTATGTATTCTTCTAAAACTTGAGCATCCACCGTTACGCATTGATGTGCATCATTCCAACTGAAACCACTTGTATTCAGTATGTCATAAGTTGCTGAATACTTATCCTTGAGCCGCTTCATTTTGTTTTGGATGTGTTTTGATGTTATATTAAGGCCAAGAATCTTTTCACTCATCTTTAAAATGATTTGCTCATATGTGTCGGTCCGAAAACACCCATTATCACTCCTACCACCGGCTGCTACAATCTCTTGTAGAATGCTAATCAGTACATCCTCTTCTTGGATACTCCAATTACGTCTGTCCGCCATCTTAGAAATTCCAAAATTAGCACTATGTCAATAGTAATAAAACAATACCTTACGTTAAACATTATAAAATTCAACCTTAGCAACAAAATAATCATTACGATAACATTTTAAAATTCAACATTTGCAACAAAATAATACATTACGATAACATTTTAAAATTCAACATTAGCAACAAANGCAACAAAATAATACATTACGATAACATTTTAAAATTCAACATTAGCAACAAAATAATACATTACGATAACATTTTAAAAATCAACATTAAAAAAAATAATACAATACATTGAGTACATTCATCTACTTGACATCCACGACTCAAACATCTCTTCGGCTATGTAATCTCTCCATTGAGTCCACTCATTGCTCGATTCAACAATATCAATAGATTCAACATCATCGTTGGATTCCACTTGCTCTTCCCCTATAGGCATATCTTCTAGTGTGAGTGTCGTGTTTTCTTCCGGATCAAGAACCATGTACATCCTAATAAAATTTTGTAGCAAAGCACATGCTATGACCATCCTTCCTTGAAGTTTTATTGGATAGAAAGAAGGACTTCGTAATATCGCCCAACGTTTCTTCAAAATACCAAAACACCTTTCTATGATATTCCTAGCTTGTGACTGTTTCATGTTAAAATATTCTTCCTTATTTGAAGGTGTATGACCAATGAGTTCCCATTCTCGTAAATGATACCTAGTACCTCTATATGGTGCCAAAAATCCATTACCATTGACATATCTTGCATCAGCCAAATAGTAATTACCCATTGGGACTTTTAAACCCTTAATTCGTGTAACCGCATCTCGTAGTACCCTAGAATCGGTAGCTGAACTTTCCCAACCGGATAAAACATAGATTAATTTCATGTCCCGAGTGCATGCATCTAATACATTAATCACAATATGACCCTTTCTTGTTTAGTATCGTGGTTTATCGAACTCAGGTACAGTCACTTCAATATATGTTTCATCTATTGCTCCTAGACAACCCTATAAAGAAAATAACTTGGTTTTAGCTAAATGGTAAAAAAATTATGTTAAAAATAATGTGAGAAGTTAACAAGGATTACCTTAAACCATTTCCATCTTCTGTCGGTACAATCATCCTCTACCGGAGTTGGTTTGCTAAACAAAATGTCTTGCAATCATAACAAAGCATTTAAAACTCGATGAACATACCTACTAATTGTTTCACCCAACCTACAAAATCTAACTTGAAGACATCTATTTTTGGTGTGATGTGCTAAAATGTTTACAAATGTAGCAACTTGTTCTTCAATTGTCATGTTACCATCATCTAATAGTTCACCATGTTTTTGTAACAACTCATATAAAAGAGCAAATACATTCCTACCCATTCGCAACTCATTTACACAAATAATGTCACTTTCACGTGTGATGCGTTGGATTTCTATTGATCTAATTTGCAATCTAATGTCACTCATTTACACAAATAATGTCACTACAAGTAGATAGTTTTGATCCATTCTACATAAAAAATGAGATGTAGTCACATAGCAAAATAGCAATTGATACAAATTAAGGGTTTTTGTTTTTATATTGAAATAGTAAAACAGTAGCGAAACAACAAACATAAATCAGTATAGCAAAACAGCAGAGTGTGCAGTAACAAAAAATCTATGTAGATAGTAGCAAAACAACAAATTCACCTAGTAACCTTTAGCAATGGTCTGAATCTATGTAGATAAGACCATTTCCATGCAAATAATTGGGATCAATAGTCATGTATGGCCTAAAGGCATGGCTAAGAGTGTGTAGTAACATAAAACAATAGACGAGAGTCCATGTATGTTTGATAGCGGAATAGTTAAAGAAATGCATTGGCCCCAAAAAAGAAGCTAATATGATATGGCGAAAGATTGCAATGTACAGCTAAGTTGTATCAAATTAGGGCAGAAAAAGTACAGAAAGTAAAGTAAATTTAAAGGGCTAAAACAGCAAATACAAATCAGTAGCAAAATCGAGTAGAAACAGCAAACATATACTGTCGAGTTCTTCTAAATCGAGTTATGCAAAATCGAGTAGAACGTCGATTACCTGAAAAGGAGAGGGGAGATCGATTATGGAGAAAGGAGAAGGTAGATCGCTTCGTGAAATATGTCGATTACTGTCGAGTGGACTATGAAGAAGAGGCGACACTTTTGTGAAAGGGAGCGATTCTGTCCATAACGACGATTTTGAAATATGCCGGCGATTGAAATCTGCCGCCGATTGAAATCTGCCGCCGATTGATGAAGGATACGGTGGAAGCGATGGAGGCGATGTTGTGAAGGGGAAGAAGGGTGTGTTGCGTATTAGGTTTTGAGAGGGTAGATAGGTAAAATATTTCTTGTTCTATTTAGTTCCAGGGGGAAGGGTGGACTACCGTGTCCCACCTGTGTTCTAGCTACTTCTAGTTAGTCCCACATAAGGTCACACCAAACATAAGACAATTGTGCTCTGTCATGTCCTGTTTCACCCTGTCCAACGTACCAAACACACCCTAAAGGCTGCAGGCGCATTTGTGAGTCCAAATGGCATAACTAGAAATTCATAATGATCATAACGCGTATAAAATTTTGTTTTTGACACATCTTCATTCTGAATATGTAATTGATGATAACCGGATCGTAAATAAATTTTTGAGAAATAAGTAGCCCCAACCAATTGATCAAACAAATCATCAATTCTTGGAAGAGGGTACTTATTTTTTATTATTAATTTATTCAGTTCCCGGTAATCAATACACATTCTCATTGATCCATCTTTCTTTTTCACAAATAACGCTGGTGCATCCCTTGGAGAAATACTCGGTCGAACAAATCTTTTATCTAGAAGTTCTTTCAGTTGTGACATTAATTCCTTTAATTTAGAAGGAGCTATTCAATACGGTGCACGTGCAACTGGTGCTGCTCCAAGAAGTAATTCAATCTGAAATTCTATCAATCGGTTCGGAGGTAGACTTATCAAGTCTTCTGGAAATACTTCCGAAAATTCTCTTACGACTGGAATGTCCTCCATCTTTTTCTTTTCTTTACTTATGTCAATGGCATAAGCAAGAAAACTAGCACATCTTTTTTGTACATACTTCCGAGCTTTTATAACAGAGATAAGACTGGAATAACGATCCCGTCAGTCCCCATAAATTATAACCTTTCCTTTTTTGTTAAGTCTATATGGATCATCTTTTCGTCATGGATTATGTTAGCTTGATTTTTAGCTAACCAATCCATGCCTATAATTATATCAAACTCTCTTAAAGGCAAAGGAAATAACTGTATAGGCACCTCACACCCTTCTATACTTATAGAACATTCATCTATCATTTCCTTAACCGAAACTTCACTATCATTAGCTGTTTCCACGATTAAAACCTCACTTAACTCTTTTGATTCTAAATGCGCATAGTTAACAAATAGTGGCGAAACAAAAGAACGATTTGTACCAGAGTCAAATAAAACTTTGGCATATACCGAATTAACAAGGAATGTACCTGTCACCACTTCAAGGTGTTCTTCTGCCTTGCCTCTCATCATTTGAAAAGCTCGTCCTTTAGCAATTGGCTCACCATGCCTCATTTCTCCATGACCACTTGGAGTATTATGATTAACTGTTGGCCCATGGCTAGGTGTAACATAACCAGATCCTAGGCCCCTAGAGTATCTAAATCCTTGGCCCCCAGCAAAACCAGACCCTCGTCCCTTAGCTTGCGGACAATCGGCGTTTACGTGCTAAGAGGAATTGTAGGAAAAACATTTTCGCACCAGTCGGCAATCCCAAGCTATATGACCTGATTCCTGACATTTAAAACATACTCGCGACTCGATATTGTAGTTTCCTTGATGTACTTTATGACATCGTGTACACGCCTTAGAAGTAAATCTTGGGACTGGTCGATTCAGATTTTTCGTAAACCTTGGTTTACGAAAGTCAGTCGTTATGGTTTCCCCTTTTCTTTTATCCCCAACCCTTTCTTGTGGTTGACGATTGATGTCCTGTTCCAGTATTTCTACAACGTCAATCGCTGCTTGAAATGTCGTTGGATTTCTGGATATCACAGACTTTCGGAGATTGGACTCTAAACCCCAGATGTAATTTCTTATTTTACTACTTTCAGATACAATGTAGGCTTCAGCAAACCAAGATTGTTCCATGAAGACTTATGAATACTGACGAACCGACATGTTTCCTTGCTCAAGACGAAGGAAATCATCTTCCAACTTTCGTACAACCGCTTCCGAACGATATTGCATCTTACATTTTATCACAAATTCCTCCCATAACATAGTTTTCAGAATATTTGAATCTGAACTTGACAAAATCTCCTACCAGTATAAAGCACTTGACCCCAGACAGGATACAACAAACATAACTTTATCTTCTTCTGCGCTTTTACTAATTTGTAGACGTAGTTCAACTTCCTTAAGCCAACACATGGCTTTGACAGGGTCACGTTCCCCAGAGAATTTAGAAGGGTTACAAGCAAGAAACAATTTAATATCTCCTCCTTTATGAACAGTGGATGAAGTAAGGTGGACCAATGTATCTGTTGTCGGTGTACTAGCTCCGGCTTCTTCTTGATAGTCAGGATTCCTTACTACTTCTGAGTTATTTTGTGCCGAACGTCCCAAAAAATTTACCAAACTTTCTTGAAATTTTCCCAATTTAGCAGCCAACATTTCCTAAGTAATAAAACCAGGATCAGGAACATTATGTCTACCCCTTGCTCTACCTCTTCCACGGCCTGACATTGAACTTTCTTGTGCTTATAATTCCTGTTCCATACGAGTTTCTTATTGAGTATTTCTCCATCTTCCTAGACCCCTGCTCCGACTTCGTGTTTCTATAGTCATCATATTTTCAGGGTCTTTTCTTCTTGGTTTAGACCTCCTCTTCCCCGACCTCTTCCATGACCAGTAGAGGTCCTTTCTGATCGGTTAGGATTATCTACCATTTTCAGTGTTCGAATTACTTGAACATCCGTTTCTTTCACAATAAACATATATAATTATTCATATAATCAAAGTGTGATAATACATTTATCGTCGGGTTTATTTATAACTCATGATTACATCAATCACATGTAATCTAACCTTATCACACTTATTCTCTTCATAAATTTAGCTATAACATGTTCCGACATTCATAGTCCCAGTAAAACCTATTATCATAATTTTCACGCCTCTAGTTTAAGTCTAAGTATTAAGAAATACCCAGAACCCTTAAACTAAGGCTCTGATAACAACTGTAACAACCCCCATTTCTTTCTAACATAAAACTCACAAACAAATTTACAGTAACTTGATGTAACACTTAATTAAAACTCAAAACATCTACCATTGTTTACAAAACATGAGAAAATAAGGATTAACATAAACTTTGTCTAATACAAAACACACATCTAAATATCTTTGTATTAAATTTTCCCCTTGCCTTTGTCGTGCGATGAAAGATGACCTGCAAAACAGATTAGTCCAACAATTGTGCGTTAGAACAAAAGGTCTAGTGAGTGTATCACACTCATACAAACAACATATATTCCAAAATCCATGGTTTATAACAAACCTGGACATTTATATGTATTTTATCTGTTATTTCTTGCAATTACACCGCCATTATCTCTCTCTCTCTCTCTCTCTATCTCTCGTGGTTACACCGCCATTACCTCTCTCGCTGTTAAACCTCCGTTACCTCTCTGTCTCGCGGTTACATTGCCATTACCTCTCTCTCTCTCTCTCTCGCGGTTACACTGCCATTACCTATCTCTC